ACCATCAATAAGTCCCTCAACTCCTTCACCAATCATTTGGAGCGTTTGAAGACTCCTAAACGCCAAGATCCTTACTAGCCATGCTTTAGCTTGGTGGGATAGAGAAGTAGCAGAAAATAGGAGGCTACGCTATCCCCAAATCACCAGATGATCTGACATGAAGTTTGAGCTTCAAAAGAGGTATGTTCCTACTCATTATCATAGAAACTTACTAAAGAGATTTCGCTCTTTGTATCAGATATCAAGGACTGTATAAGAGTATTATGAGGAGTTTGATATTTTAAGAAGTCACCTTGAGCTGGACGAGACAGAAGAATCTCTCATGTCACAACTCATGGATGGCTTACAAAACAGAATACAAAGAAAGGTGGAGATGCAGCCTTATCATTCACTACAAGATCTCCTACATCTAGCTATTCAAAAAGAGCAACAAATTAAGAAGAAGACATCTTCAAGAAGCCGCTCAAATCAAACCACTTGGAATCAACCTTCACAACAACAGCAACAAGTCCAAACATCCTTTGTAGATAAAGGCAAAGCAGTAGCAGTGGATTCAAGATTCAAATCCAATGATTAACGTCATGATCAAGGTTAGTCTAGTACTTTTCAAAGACATCATTACATTTTTTTGTTATAAATGTCAAGGCATGGGTCATGTTTCAATAGAATGTCCAAACAAGAGGGTCATGATCACCACTCCTGATGGGTAGGATTCACAAAATGAAGTCATGACTGAGAATACAGAAGATAAAATCACCATTTATGCTAAATAAGGAGAGCTTCTAGTCATTTAAAGAGCACTGAATTCACAACCTGTCCTAGAAGATCAAGAACAATGAGACTATAACTTTCATTTTAGATGCACAATCAGAGATAATATATGTCATTTGATTATTGATAGTGGTTCTTGTGCTAACATTGCTAGTGTTTCTTTAGTAGAGAAACTTGGTCTTATTACAAAATAGCATCCAAGACCTTACAAACTTAAGTGGCTCAATGACAAAGAAGAGCTAAAGGTGTCTAAGCAAGTAGAAATACCACTTGCCATTGGCCAATACAAGGATCAAATTTTGTGTGATGTTGCACCAATGCAAGCAGGCCATGTTTTGATTGGAAGAACTTGGCAATATGATAGAGATGTTACTCATAATGGCCGCACCAATGAGTATTGCTTCACCATCAATCACTGTAAGTTCATTCTTGCCCCATTAGCACAAAAAAGATATAAGAGTTATGGAAGTAAGAGCTAAAACAGATACTAAAGCTAAGGGTAGTTACTTTGCTATTCAAGATCTTTTATTAATAAATCCACCAAATATAATGCTTTTGTCTTCCCCAAATGAGTTTTATGCAGGTTTAAAGGATCAAACACATCAAAACGTGTTATACAAAACTGAAAACATGGAACACGAGGTAGAGAAACCTCCAATATCTAAGCGAAAACCAACAATGGAGCTTACCGAAGAAAAAAACATTCCATTCGCTTCACTATTAGAGCATCTAAAGTCCAATGCATCAAATAAACATCAAGGTAAGTTTTTAAACTCCAAATCTGGTAAAGAAACTAACTTAATATATCTTGGTGCAGAGAAAATGATTTTGAGGACAAAACCTTTTCAAGAGGGAGAGTATGATAAGGACATCAGTACTGATCAAGCTACACTAGATTCTGGAGATAGTACAAGAGCTAAACTGGAGCCTAGCATGCTTTTACCTGAGGAACAACACCAAGACCAAGGAGGACATATTTATCAAGCGAAACCACCAAAACCGCTTAAATGCACATATGGACCAACATATGCATTTTCAAGTCCAAATAAGGAAACCATGAAGACATCATCGACCAACTCTTTTTATTTACACTCTTTGGCGTTCTTAGAAGATACTGATAGCAGGATTTTGTCTAACTATTCAAATCATAACACACTCATGTCATTGCAGCATGTAAGGTATCAATCCATCTGAGTTCATAAGACACTAAGAATGCAGCAAATCACTTAAGTCAAGCCAAATTTAAGGAAGCAGTTGTGATCAAACTAAACAGGACTAAAGACTGAACTAAATAACACAAAAGCAGCGCAGGAAATTCAAATAGATTTAAATAAGGATCTAAGATGGGGGTTATTTATTAAGAGGGGATTAGAACCTAACTAGAGATGCTTCAAAACCATTCAAATAATGCTATCTTCTAAGCAAAGGATTAACATTTATAACTAGCTTAATTTCTTGACACTAATCACTTTTCTAAGCACATATTCAAGACAAATTCCTTTACTCAAACACATGATCAGCAAGCATTTAAAACAGAACTCCAATCATATAAAGCTAAAATGCACCATAGACATCTAATTCCTTAGGCTAAGAGAACAAATCCTCTAAGAGACTCATAGCAGCATTTCATCAAACACTTATCATGCATAAGAGAAAGCCAAGATACTAAATAAGCCTGGCGAAGACTAATCTAGTGTTAAGCACATCTAATAGAGAGAAAACAATCATATTAAGCACAAGACATCACTAATCTAGTCCTAAAACCCCTCTAATCTATCCCATCTCAAACCCTAAATAAGACTACTCACTAGCAATAATCAAAACCACAGATTCCAAAGAGAAATAATGGTTAAGCATGATTAGAAAGCAGAATAAACAAGAATAGATTAAAGGCAAATACAGAATTTCACTAAATCAAACTAGTTCTTACAAATCAAAGCTGAAAAATGAAAGGTTTTAAGTGCAAGAACAGAAGAAAAATAATAAGATCTTAGTTTCCTAACCATTTTAGGACTTTAGTATTTATATGGGAACTTAGAAACCTCTAGTAAACCAAGATTAAACCAAAAATAGGCTGACTCGGATGGACCATATCGGCCTTGTACATCGATACACACATCGATATCAAGTCTTCTTCTGGGTTGTATCGACATGGCCTGGTCGATATGCAAGGCTCCAGGAATGTATCGGCTTGACTCTCCTTGGTGTGAAGTCGATACAATCGCCATTTAGTTAAGGCTTATCGGGCAAACACGTCGATACAGCACCTTGGTATTGTCATGTCAAGGTGTATCGACATGGGATGTCGATACACTGCTCGGTATGAATCCCCTTTTGGTGCATCAAGGTCCTTCTTAGTCGATATGCTGCCTTTACACCAAACTCTTGCTGTATCGATGTCGAGTCATCGATATTCACCTCGGTATGCTCCATATCGATCATATCATATCGATATCATCATCGATATTGGCCCATCTGACCTTTTCCTTCTCCTTGCTCCATTCCCAGCTCACATCCATTGCACCACTTGGTCTCCAAATTCCTTCTAGTACCTAAATAAAACTTCAAATGTACGCCAAATGCAATGCAACTCCTAAAACTACACTAACTCCTAAAAGTATGCAAATGGGACAAAAAGAAGCAAAATATGCATGTTTAAAGACTAAAATTAGTGATGAATGCAAGCTAAAATGGTATAAATAATGGAGATATCAGATACCAAAGGGAGAAAACCACCAGATCAAGCCATTAAACCCATCAAACCGTCCCAAACCAAAGAAGATATCACCATGAAAAAGGTTTCCTTTTCTGATCATATTAACTTTGTTTTCAAAGGAAACCATGACCAACGACCACATTATATCATCAATCTTGACCTTCCATTCAAGATAGAAGATCCTGAACGCCCACACCATGCTGAAGACCCCAAGATTCGCCCTTTTCTGACTCTCTCATTGCCACAAATCAAGCATTTTCCCCCTTGAAGCCAAACGACTAGTTAACATAATATTCATCACTTTAGCTGAATTCTTGCTCTGTTTTTATTACTTATGGCCATTAGACCCTTTACATTTTGAGCCTTATATAAGTTCATTTCATTTGTATTTCATGACACATCTTATATTTGAATCAAATATCTTTGTTTGTTTTCTTAAGAATCTTCTTTGAAACCAATCTTGTTCCTGTGAGTTTTCTAAATATTTGTGGAATTAAAGCTTGAGAATTTCGTGTATAGTCTACGAGTCTATGCGAGCAATAGCCCTTGGAGACTAGAGTCTAAAACCGTTGGCTGTGGAACCAATCAATAAACCAATTACAAACTGTTCAATCATCTCTATCGCTGAGCTTAAAGGTCTTGATTCAAGGGTGTTTAGAGTGGTGGAATCTGATCTTATATCAAGGAGACTAATCTGTTGGGTGTAAAAAGGCGAAAGATGTTCTGCACGCTAAAGATGTCGAGAGACTGACTTTGAAGCGAGAGGATTGGAAAACACAAAACACTGCTCACACTGCATATTAGCCAAGTTCTTTTTTTTTTTTTGTTCACACTGCATGTGTGCCAAGTTCAAGAGCTGTTTTAAAGTGCATAATAATGTTTATAACATTCAATTATCTTTCACCTTGATGATAAGGTGAATCTCAACAGAGTAATATTGATAAGATCACTAAGTGGAGTGGTCTTTTATTGGACTCGTGGATTGAAGAAGAAAATTAAAATCCAAGTTTATCTTTATCTCAATTTATTTACCATTTATATCAATATTTAGTACGATTATATACTTAAATCCTTCTTTTGTGTAAATTTTTTAACAAATTAATCAACAAATTATCAAAATCTCTACTTTTTTCCTTTTTTCTTTACGAACAAGTTACAGACTGTTTGATAAGTCACAGACTGTTTGATACGTCACAGACTTATCATAGATTAAATTGATACTAATGCAAATATACACATATAACTTGAGTTTGGATACACTCAAACAAAATATGATTTATTATCTCTTTTGCTTCACAATATCTTTGATAAATCAGATCAATCTTTACTCCCTTATTCTGAGTTTTTCATAGGTAAAGTTTCTGAAATCATCCTCCATAAGTGTGGTTTTTCATACTTCAGATTTACTTCTTTAACTCAATAAAACTAAATTTTAAAAAAAAATCCTTAAGACCCAAACCATCACCATTTTCACTCTTTGGTAAAGAAAGCCTTTCATTCCCTTTCCAAAATTCATAGAGTTGCTAATTGATGGAATATACGTATGTACTGACTTAGCCTATTACATCAACGTTATATGTAATAAAACTATAAAAATATTTTTTTAATAAATAAGGTTTTTTTTTTCTTCGCTTTCGCTGTGTTTTTCTTCTTTCTCACGACCTCTCTCTATTTCTCTCTCTGCCGTCTCTTTTGTTCTCTCTCTAGAAAAGCTCGAGGACCTGCCATTAATCCATTCGACGATTGAGCTTTTCACAGCTCTTTCTTCCATCATCCTAGGTTCGCTTCGATCTATACGGATTCTTCGTTTACGTCCCCTCTAATCTCGCTTCCCATATTAATCGAATTTTCCGAGACTTAGGTTTCCGATTTCAATCCTGGTGTTTTAGTTTGTGCGGGATTCTGTTTTCCGATCGCTGATTTCTTCCGAGCTTGTTAGGGTTTTTGTTTTTGTTTTTTGTTTGTTTTGCAATTGATTGTAGTCCTGGAGATTTAGTTGATAGAGATGAATTCTGGAGATGTAATTATTGATTGCATTTCGAATTTTTAAGATTGTTTTTTAGGGTTTAATATATTCCTCATTGCTTATCTAATGTGTGGTTTATTGATTTGAGCGAATGAATTCGTTTGGTTCCTGTGAGTGAGTGATTTGGATTTTTCGATGTGAGTGATTAATTGATTTTAACAGTTTTTTTATTATGATCCACTTCAGCTATTATCCTTGGTTAATATATATCATTATCGTTAAAAAATGAGCTTGTTCATTTATTTATTTCAGTTTGCCAAATAAACAGTTTGACAATTTGATCAAAGCCATGTTTTAGACTACAAATTAGGATCTAATTTTGTATGTTCAATCCTTAATCTGGCGTAGTTTGAAAGAGAGATAAGCTTTAAGAGGCATGTCCGAGACTACTAATGGAGATTCTGGAGCAGGGAGATCAACGGAGGAGAGTTCAAATGGACAAAGAAGCCAATCAGCAGAAGCACTTGCGGAGTGGAGATCCTCTGATCGAGTGGAGAATGGGACTCCTTCGACATCGCCACCGTACTGGGACATTGATGAAGAAGATGACTTTGGTATGCTTTTTTTCTTTGTTGTTTAGCTTCTCATGGGTGTTGTTTAACTGCATGAAACGAGTCCATTTCATTCTTGAAACGTTATATTCTGGAATGACTCGCCTTTTTATCTTTGGCTTTTTTGCGGTATTAACTTAACTTGTGTGTCACTTTGGCGTTTTATTCGACGTTTGTCCTTATTCGTAGGATTAAAACCTTCTGAACTGTTTCGGAAACATACTTGGAAGATTGAGAAATTTTCAGAAATCAACAAACGGGAGCTCCGTGGCGATAATTTTGATGTTGGTGGCTACAAATGGTAAACGACATCTTTTTATTGATCATGATAACAATCTTGAAGTTCTTGTAAATACTAAACCTAGTTGTGTATTTTTTTTCCTTATGCATGCTTAAAATATTTACAATTAGGTTCCATATTCCTCTCGTGGCAGGTATATATTAATTTATCCACAAGGGTGTGATGTTTGCAACCATCTCTCTTTGTTTCTCTGTGTTGGAAACCATGAGAAGCTTCTTCCAGGTGAGTATTGTTGTTTGGCTCTTGTTCGTTTTCTCGAATTTGAACAAACTTATCATTTAGGTTCGTCTGGTATCTTTGAGACAGGATGGAGTCATTTTGCTCAGTTTACTATAGCTGTGATAAATAAAGATCCAAAGAAATCGAAGCATTCAGGTTACCTTTTTGCATCTTTTAGTTTGCATGCATCCCATTACACAGAGATACTGAACATTTTGCTTTTGCAGATACATTACACCGGTTTTGGAAGAAAGAGCATGATTGGGGATGGAAAAAGTTTATAGAGTTACCTAAATTATTAAACGATGGTTTCATAGATGATTCTGGCACTCTTATAATTAAGGCTCAAGTTCAGGTGCTCAGGTAAATGCAAGATTGAGTTTACCTAAACTCACGTGTCATACATCGCCATTAACATACTAAACTCTCTTAACCACACAGATGGCCATAACATTTTGTAAATTGATGTGTGCAGAGATAGGGTGGACCGACCTTTTCGCTGCCTTTATTTTCAGTATAGGAGGGAACTTGTTAGGGTGTATATGAATAATGTAGAGCAAATTTGCGGGCGGTTTGTGGAAGAGAGAAGAAGCAAGCTTCGTAGGTTGATAGAGGACAAGGCAAAATGGAAAAGGTATTCCTCATTTACACTCTCATTTCCTCCAGATTCCAGAAATAAATTCATAAATAGCTGTTGACGCCAATCTAGTGTAGTAACTGCACTTTTCTTTTCTTGTTTCTTGATAATTCCCCCTTCAAGTTTGAGCAATTTCGCATAACAAGGAATGAATTGTTATTTTATGGTGCAGCTTTGGTGCCTTCTGGTTAGGGCTGGACCAAAACTCAAGGCGTCTGATGTCTCGGGAGAAAATGGATGTGATTTTAAAAATTGTTGTAAAACAATTTTTCATCGAGAAGGAAGTTACATCCACTTTGGTGATGGATTCCTTGTATAGTGGGTTGATGGCTCTTGAAGACCTAACTAAGAACAAAAAAAGTAGGCCGAGACTGATGGATAACGAAGATTCGCCATCTCCAGTCGTTAACGTGGACAAAGATATGTTCATATTAGTTGATGATGTACTGTCACTCCTAGAGAGGGCTGCCCTGGAGCCATTGCCTCCAAAAGAGGAAAATGGTCCTCAAAACCGTACGAAGGTCAGTTTCATATGTTATTTATTGTACTGATTGAATTCATGGTTTATTATCCTGTGCGGTGGTGCATTTTTTATTTTTAGTATCCATGTAAGCATTAGCACTTGTCATTATGTTGGCTTGACGTTACTTGTATTATTAGGATGGGAATGCTGGGGAATTCAGGACTGAGCGTGATGAGAAGCGTTTAACTGAGTTGGGTAGACGAACTGTGGAGATATCTGCTCTTACACATATCTTCAGGTAATGTCATGATTTGTCTCGGGGTCTAAAATCTCCATACAAATCAATCATAAGTACATACTTTGTTTACAATCTCAAACAAACATGCGTGAAAGATCTGATTCTGAAACCGCTGATAGTATTAGTTGTGTATTTCTGGTCTTCTTCTGGTATTGTTGTGTGTTTGTGTTCTTAACAGTACCTCATGTATCACAACTGCAATCTTTGTGAGAAATGCAGCAACAAAATTGAAGTTGCATACCAAGAAGCTATTGCATGGAAAAGGCAAGAAGAGCTTATTCGCGAAGAAGAGGAAGAGGTGCTGGCAGAAAGCGAACAGAAGGCCAAAAGAAGAGCAGCCGAAAAAGAGAAAAAATCTAAGAAGAAACAGGTCTCTGTTGCATCCAAATTATATAATCCCCTAAAACAACTTGTTGAGGATGCTAATGGTTTCTTGGTTGTTTGGTAATTCATAGGCTAAACAGAAAAAGAACAAAAATAAAGGAAAGGAGAAAAGGAAAGAAGAGAAGGTGAGATCACAATCAGAAGAAAGGGATATCGCGAAAGAGGAATGTGTGAGAGCGAAAGAAGAAACGTCCGCTGAGAAACCTGACACGCATGGAGATGTATCTGATGTTTCTGATTCAGTAGAAAGTTCAGCTGATATTCTTCAGCTTGATTCAGAAGATAGAGAGAGCATCCCTGTTCATTGGGAAATAGATGCCTCAGAGACTCATTCTCCCCCTTCAGGGGACACTAGCAGAGGAAGAGACAGTTCCATATCCATACCTAATGGAGTTGCAGATGGAAAATGTATCTCCACAATGGATGATAGTTCTTCAACCTGCTCTAATGACTCGATCCAATCAGGGGGAGCCAATGGGTCATACAAAGGGAATGCTTTAAACTGCCGAAGCCAGAAATGGCTTAGCAAGTCAGTAAAGTAAACTTCTTGTTTTGCATCTTCCTTTGATTCTTTTGCTTGTTCTACATATCTAACATACCTTGTGATCTGCAGTGTAAAAACAAATCCAGGAAAAGTCTCTGATGCTAACAGTTTAGCCAGTGAAACAGAGGAACAACCTTCAAGACATGCATCTGACCCTAAGAATCAAAGCCATTCTTCTGAGATACGCAGAGTTGGTGAAGCTGACGTGGTTATCTCTCACATTCACAAACCAGTGAGCCCTGAGGAGCATAACCCTGTTAGCAAGATGCTTCACGGCACGGTTCAGACGCAAGAGAAAAGCCCTGCTGTACTTTCCTCGCCCGGAGCTGCTCACTGGAATCATCTCTCATCTGTAGCACAAGCAAAACCGGAGAAAAAGATTGTTTCAAATGTAGATGCTGCTCCGAACAGGAAAGCAATACCTGCTGCTAGATCACCTTCATCAGATCAACAAGCATCACCATCTCGAGACATTCAGTTTCAAACTGTGCCTCCTAGAGCCGGTGGACAGAAAACAGCTTCTCCAACAAAACCCACGGGACAACCAGCACCACCTTCTATGTTGTCAAGGCCGTTGAGTGCTCCTCTAATCCCTCCAAAGCAAGCTGCACCTGTGATAATATCTCCTGTTCAAGCCTCAGCAACATCTCTTGCTCGTTCAATGAGCTCAACAGGCCATAGGCAAACGTACATTCCTCAATCCTATAAACATGCCATAGTTGGTTCACTTTCTTTCAACCACTCAAGCTCTCAACCGACGGGAACAACGACCGCATCACCGTCTTATTCACAATCGCCTCCTATCTCAGGCTTCCCTATCAACGGTGGCTCGCGGGATGTTTCGTCTGGTGAACACGGCTTGTGGACTGCTGGTTCGAGTTCAAACAAAGAAACGACAACAACATCAACCAGCGGGAATCATAGGATGAATCTCCCTTACAACCCACCCGTAAGTACGACGACACAGAGTCTGATGACCGATGAGTTCCCTCATCTTGACATCATCAATGACCTGCTTAAAGACGAACACGGTTCGATGGACAATAACAGCGTATACTGTGTACCACAACGGTTCAATATGTACTCATACCACGGTGGTGCGGATTTCGGGATCTCTGGGAGGTCAAGGAGCTACAGTGACGATGGGTTTCACCAGTCTTACGGTGAATACATGTCTTCTTCTTCGCCGTATGGGAACGGGCAAATGGATGGGTTGACACAGACGCAGTGGCGTATGGCGAATATGGACTTGTCTTTACTCGCTACGAGGAACCAGGACGATGCAGCAGCAAGTAATTACTCTTACTTTGACTTAGATTCATCAAACCAGAATCTGTCAGCTGGAATCAACGGCTACAGAGACTTCAGGCCATCGAACGGTCACTGAGGTTTTTTGGGTTTAAGGGGGTGGTTAAGCATACGTTATCTTTTTTTTATACATAGATGGAAAGAACAATGAACAAAACAAAACAGACAAACCATTTGTGTAAAGGGAGTTTTCGTCCTCTTCGTTTCAAATGAATTCTTTCTCTAGGTTTATTTTCTTTAATAAGATTATGTCTTTCTTAATTCGTTTTGGTGTCAATGATGTTTGGAATCTCTCCGTTAAAGAGTAGGCTTCGCGAATCAAGATAGTTACGGAGAGGTTCTGATTCTTTGGTGTTCATGATATTTTGGTGTTCTGTATTTCAAAATCAGATGAGATTTCAAAATCAGATGAGATTTCAAAATCAGATGAGATTTCAAAATCAACGTCCACACGATCAAACCAAGACAATTCTGCCCATTTGAACAAAATCAGTTCGGTTGTGTATGACCGAGCGTCTAATGGCCTCCCTTACTAGCACCTAGCCCGAGTTATAGAAAAAAAGATAGATTCATCTACTGCATTTACACCGAAGTGACTTGAAAATAATTTCATGGGTTGATATCAAGTTACATGAAGCATAAGAAACCAAGCAGAAATAGCACAACCCATGGCGTGGCCAAAGCCCATTTCGTCGTGCCACGAGAGGTAGCTCACACACGGCCACACCAAATGTCTGGCCCGAGCCCATTTGCAAGACCCGTTAAAGCCCGTTTGCCATGTTTCTTAAGCGACGTCAAATAAGAGTGAAGATCTGCAAATACTTTGTTTTAGGATTTTACTCTAGTACTCTGGCGATGCGCAGATTTTTGTTTTCATAATATATTTTGTTAAAAAATTTAGTTAAAATTTATTTTATCGTATATTTAAATTTTACTTAAGGATGTTGTATATTTGAATAAACAAGTAATATGTATGTAGGTATTATGTAGATATTGACTATATATGTGAGCAACGATTTATTATTTCATGTAAAATATATTATGCCTTGTATATATAGAATAAATTAAATAGATATACTGTAAATTAGAGAAGTACTATATAACAAAATAAATAATTAGAGAAACTCTTCAAATCATAATATAAGTAGAGACGACTTTTTATAGCAGGTTGTATTTGTTCTTGGCGCACACTAATTAAACATTTCTAGTCACTACTTTTTCGGTCACATATCACGCTACAAATCCCAATTTATTTTATTTTTATTCTGATTATTTTTGTGAGGTTTTATTACATTAATAATAAATTGAAATATACATCTATCAAACATATAAAAACCAAAATAAAGATATTTTTAAATAGCACACAATTAAAAAGTAAATAATTAATTGGTCTAACCTTAATTACATCATAATAATAATTTATTAATTACAAAATTTAAAATGACAGATGTCACTCTTTCTTGTGCTGATGTGACACTCAGGAAAGAGTTGACCATCTTTTATATTATAGATAACTTAAATGCTTTTCTTATTTCATTCATATTTTTTTTTTAATGAAGATGTTAAATTAATCCAACTAAAACGTCATTTTTATAATGAATGCAACAGTTTCTGAAATTGTAAAAGAAATCAAACTATTTTCCAACCCAAAAGTTTTATCGGCAAGAAAACCAGAATCATATTCCTCTTGCATACCGGTAGGCTTAGGTTGCGGGTCGGATCCGCCCCGCATGACCAGCCCGCATCGGATTTGTTTTAATTTTGACCCGCTTTGACCCATCCCGCAAAATTTCTTAACTTAAAATTTTCGATTCGCACCGTCCCACTTAAGTTTATGAGTACCCACGGGTAACCTGAAAATACTTAAATAAATAAAAACTAGATTTTATATAATTTTAACAAAAAAAACATTATATAAAAAAATCCAATACAATAAGATATAAATATACAATCTTTTAAAGATCTAAAAGAAAACTATTACCAAATTTTGATAATATTTTCTATACAATTTTTTTATAGAACATTGTGAGTTTTTTTTAAAAAATTAGCCAGTAATTCGCGAATCCGCAAAAAAAAAATGAAGCACTCGCACCCGCCCCGCAAAACCTGCTTTTTCTAAACAGATTTTTTTCCGACTTGCACCCGCCCTGCAGCGGGGTTAGCGGAGCGGGATCCGTGGTTAAAGAACCAAATTCCTAGGGATACATATTGTTTACCAATTGTCTAATTATTGTTAATATGTTCCTTATCTGCTTGTCAATCCTTTGTGCGAGCTGAAGAAAAGGAGTGGGAGAGTCGCTATAGTGTCTGCTATTTCTTTCTCGCCATATTGTATGGATCACCACTTGAACCACATACCTCAGCAGGAACAGAGATAAAGTCTCTCGGGATTCATCCAATAAGTGCTTCATAATAACAGTCCAAACGTTTGTGTAATCAACTCCAAGCATCTTCCTCATCTTCCTCGTTAGATTCTCCCCCAGATTTCCCCAGAGTAGCTACATTGGAAGAATATGTGGTCACGTGTTTTAGACGGCTCTTGGCAAAAGGTGCAGGACACATTTGTTCCGATGTTCCATGAGACCATTTTATCTCATGTGGAAAGTCGATTTTGTGTGGCCAGCCATGTGTAGAACCTGTATTTAGGTGTAGCGTACTGAAACCATATAACTTTATACCAGTTGCATATTGGAGAGGCTACACGAGTGAGGATCCATGTTTCATTTGAGCTGAATTTCGGTTTGTACTTATCTTTTTGATTCCATAGAACCCGATCGGCTGATGTCAAATCTGATCTCCCCGTAGATTCTCAATTTACTCCTCGATGGTATTCAATAACTCCACCCGATGTCTTCTTCTACGGTGTGTATAGAGGACTGATTGTACTGATTCATTGAGCCGTATACCCATATCCATGCAGCCTCTATTACCCGTGAGTTCAATCAGTCATCCAATCTTTGCCCAGTTATCAAACCAAAAGGATGTAGTAGGCCCAGTTTTTACCTCTATCTTCGTTAGTTCCTTTGCTAAGTCTCTGTATTTCAAGAACTTCTTCCACATCCACGAACCGAGAGAAGTAGAAGTTTTAACCGACCAAAACGAGCCTTCTCTGATTAAGTATATCCGGACCCAATTTTACCTAAAGCGACGAGTGTACTGATAGGATTCTCCAAATAAGCCTTCAAGCATCTAACTCTGTTTGCTTCAGATAAGGAGCAGAATCCCAAACCACCTTCTTCTTTAGGTAGACAAACCTTCTTCCACACTACCTTAGCTTTCTATGAGTTTAAGTCTGGATCAAACCCAAGGAAAGCAGCACATAGTTTGTCAATCTCACTGATGCAGGCTTTTGATAGTCGAAAAGTTGAAATCCAGAATTTCGTTAAACTTTGTATTACCGATGCAATCAGCTATAGACGGCCTGCAAAGGACAAATACCAAGCAGTTTAGCTACTAATCCTTCCTCTGATCTTTTCGAGAAGAGGCGTGTAGTCCTACACTGTCATCTGCTTCATTAACATGGGGAGCCACCAAGTAGCTTACAGGGAGTGCATCAGTGTCAAATGAGAATTGATCCAGTATTGCATCTCGGCTTGTTGCAGATCCTCCAACTAAATATAAGGTAGATTTTTTTAGACTTATAGTGAGCCCAGAGAATCCAGCAAAGACCCTAAACACCTCAAGATATTCTCTGTGGATGTCTTATTTCCATCAGAGAATACCAGCAAATCGTTTGCAAAACATAAGTGCGTTAGCTTGAGGTTGTGAGAGTAGGGATGGAAACCAAATTTTCCTTTATATAGTTTCTTGGACTCTTTCGGAATTTTCATATATACAAGGACTTCTCTGCAATTTACCAGTCGAGATTTTTATGTAACACCTGTTTCTTTTTAATTCCTCTTCGCCGAGCTCTGATTCCTTTTTCTCCTTCCCCGCATCGTGAGAGCTTTATCAATGGATCCTTCAATTTTCAAGCTCCTCGAAGAAGACGAGGTTAGGTTTCTAATCTCACTCGATTTCAAAAATCCTGAATCTGTTTAAATATTTGCGCGATTGATGTCTTGCTCGGTGTCATGGAGCGTCGTCGTGATTTTGATTTCGGCGAATTTGTGTGTGGTTAGGATGAATCGATGCATTCAGGAGCTGATGTGGACGCGTTTCAGGCCGCCCTGAATCGAGATATTGAAGGTTCAACTTCTATGCCGCTCGTGACAAACCCAGGTATGGTTCCGTTTCAATTTCTCTTCTTCCTTTATATTTTTATCGTTCTCTACAAATTCGTTGTAAATTAGGGCTAGTTGAAATCTTCCTCTTTGTACTTGTGGAAGATAAAAGCTGAAGTTTTGACACCTAATACATATGAAGTGTAGAACGTAATAAAAAGGGGAAGAAAAGAGAGTATTTGAATAATATTATGAGGAACTCTATGTCAGATTCATGAATGTATGGAGCGATTCAGGTGCAGTATTGATCAAAAAAAAAAGATGTGACTTTGTGTGTTTGCTCTTGGAGTGGATGTTTTATGGAATCTTTGGCTTGTTAGCAAAGTTGTGCTTGTTTCGCTAATCTACTGATATTTGAGAGAGTTTCAATCCTGCAAGAAAAGCAATTACTATCATGAAAGAGTTCTCTAGGGGGTCTCGTATGCTAATGATGGCGTAAATATTGTCACTTGCAATAGCCTCTTGTGGAGTCATTCAAATCAATCTCAATTAGCCTGATGCTCTTTTAGTGCTTGGCTTTTCTCTGTCTCTGGTGCTGATAGTGATCTCTTTCCCCTTTCTCGGTATTAGATTTTGAAATATAACTAGGTGTATGAGAGCTACCGAGCATGCATTTTGTTCCGCATCATATGAAAACCCTAGTTCATGTTTAGCTTCATCAATTGCTTGATATTGTTTATATAGGAAACAACCATTCTCCTAGCCAGCAGTTTGCGACATGGAAGAATGGTATTGGAGATGCTAATATCAATCTCCAGACGCAGAACAGCCTTGAAAGCACTCAGATGAAGGAGCAACAAGGATCCACTTTAGACAATCAACACCAACATGATATAAAACGTGCAAATGAATCTCACTTACAAAACATTCAGCCTCAAGAACTTCATCGACCAGGTCAACTCTGGGAGAATCCTTCGCAGGTCTCCCAAACAACTGGGATGCAGATCTCTGAAAAGAATCCCACTGCTAATGAACCAGAAAGATCGCATAATCAAGAGAGTGAATCTCAGTATTTGAAACTGCAAAAGATGAGTAATCAACAGGCTCGTGGAGTGGAACAGCCCGTTAACCAAATAAACCGCAACCCTAAGCAAG